AATGTCCTTTGGTCTATAACCTGATAGAACAGCTATGGGTTTAATTTAATAGTCATTCCTTGTGCTGCTTCTTACTTCTGACTGGCAGGTCTACTTCTTACAGGGATTTGCTCTGGTGGGGAAGGAGGGGGAGAGAGTTTTAAAATGAAAGGATGGAGGAAGGCCATTGGGTTGGCCTTTGTGGCCGCCTTTTTTTTTTCCATCCATATTTCTGGCATTGTTTAGCAGGCAGAAGGGTCAGGGATGTACCTGAACTGTAGGATGTGTGCAGTGGAGTGAAAGAAGGTTTGAGGGTTGTGGGGGAGGAAGGGAGCAGGAGGTCCCTGGAACCCCACCACCTGGAATTAACCAATCCAGGTTACGCCCCACGGCACAAATTGCCCCGGCGGGAACACTCACGCTCCACAGGTGCGACTGGGGAAGAAGCCTCGAGGCAGTTCCGGTCCCTATTAAAGGGACACCGGAGGCAGCTGGGGGAGGAGACCCGGAAGGCAGCGGCGGCAAAGAGGGAGCCGTCGGGAGCACCCGAGCGTGGGGAAAGGCGGCCGGCCGGCATGGGAGGACCTTCTGGGGTCGGGGCAAACCCCACTGGGACCCGGGAGTTGAGGAGCAGCGGCCTCACCACGGATACTGATGGCGCAGAGCCGCGGAGAACAGCTTGGCTCAGGGAGAGCCGGCAAGCCATAGTCTTTTGAGTAGAGGGGCACTCACAGCAAGGGAAGTAAGGCAGCCGTGTCAGAGAGGGACTCGGGGACTTTGCAAGCCCAGGAACAAATCTGGCGTGGTGAGTACAGCCGGAGGAGGGGGGTATCCCCACGGCAGACAGGGAAGGACCAGAGAAGCCGGTAAAAGGCACGGGTAACCTTCGGGCTCTGGGAATCCCTGGCTGGAAGCATTCAGTTGTTTTTCTCTTTGATTTCTGTACCTCGGACGTGCCCCTGGCGACGAGAGGGAAGCAGGCGGCCGAGAGATTTTGGAGGTACAGGCAAGGGTGTAGGGGCGGCGGAGCCCTCGACAGCGTGGGACCCCTGAGGGATCGGAGTCTCATTTGTGGACTGGTATGCCCCAGATTTTATATCACTGAACCAGAAGATCATCAAAGTCATGGCAGGCGGTTCGGAGGAAACCAGCTCACAAACGAGCCTAGTGAGGAGGAACACCCCGGGGACGGTCCCTTACCAACAGGGGCGGAGGCTTCGGCACGGAGAAAAGTGACTGGCACAGTGCTACTCGTGGACAAGGGTGTTATTGAGTGTTCAGCTGGCCTGATGTCTGAGACACTCATGCTCAGGATTGTTTCACTGTGACATTCTGAAGACAGAGTGTGTGTAACGGAAAGAGGAATGAGGCTGCACTGAAATACACCAAGGTCAGCACATCTGATCACCACAGAGGAGGCTGAGATAAGGATCTTATCCAACTTCCTCTTCATCTCAGTGCAGTCACTGGCAGCCTGAGTCTTATCAATTTCTTCACTGCCCATATCTCTTTCTCTTTCCACCTGTCTTTCTTTCTTTCAGTTGTCCCTGTCAAACAGATACAGTAGGATTTTGCGGATGGAAATCCTAGACAGGTGAGCTCTGCAAAAACTTTGTTTGAGAGCCAAGACGGTGATCTTAGGAATAAGATTATCAAAGGTTGTAGCCATAGTAAACATTGTCCAGTTTTATTCTGGTATTATCAGGTTTTACCAGAGATGTTAGCTAATAGTTAATTCACCATCTGAAGCTTAACTCTGGATATACACAAAATAAATTAGATAGTTTAAGTGTCTGCTACATGGTGAATTTTCAAAGCTAAATGATAGAAACACTTTTGAGTTTTTCTGTAGTTCAGAGTTATGTGGCTTCATTTAGATTGGTTTAGAATGCTTTTAGGACTTAACATTGAATACATTTTTACATTCTTTGCCGTAAAACACCCTAAGTTGTCTATTCTGTTCTCTTGCTCTAAAATGTGAAGTAAGTGACCTGATCATGACCTGGTGTGCATATAATTCAGTGAACATTTTGTCATTGTTCTCAGCAGGAACAGTATGGTCATCTGTGCGTGCCACCTTCCCTTGATTGCTTTCCACACTTACTCATAGAAAGATTTATTGCTGCTCTTTTGTCAGGTTACAGCTCACCAGTAAGAAATGTACAAACCAATTTAGTTCATCAGAAGTAATTAATGTCAATATAGATTTTGCAGCAATAATAAGATTGTTAAGTCAGTTGCTCTGGAAAAAGAGGAGGTAACAGCCTAAGAGTCCTTCTCCTAAAAAAAGTGTGTGCATTTGGAAAATAAAACAATCCAGTAGTCCCAACATAAACACATGCTTGGAAAATGGAGTACTGTTTCACTCACAGCAAGCTTTAGGCAATCTCAGTTCTCATGTTATTGTGTTAAATTATCAGTCCACCCCTTCTCTTATCCATCCTTCCTCTTCACCAATTTCCACCACTCATTCACCTGAACCATATGCCATTTATACCTGAGAAAGGCACTCCATTCATTGTATTACTTAAATAACATATAGAATAAAGAATAAAATACATAATATACAATAATATCCCTACTAATAGCATTTACATTTGTATCACTGTAATCACTCATTTCAAACATCGCTCTTCTGTTTTTAGATGGAGGAATTCTCTCATTTTCTTGTATGTGAAGGTAAAGATGACAGTCTTTACATATGTAGCCCCCATTATCTTGAAAGAACTGTAATTACTACAGCCACAACTAGAATGTAACCACTTTCGTGACAAAACACGCTCATCCTTACGTAGCTGCCAGGAACACTACACAGCACTTTAGGACAGAGAGTAAAAATGACTCTTTAAATGAAACAGTATGAGGGACTATAATTAGGTAAACTATAAGTTATCAGAACTGGAATTTGACTGGGATTTCAGTTAACATGCCAGAATTTTGTGGAAATTACCATTAAATATGCAGTAACAGTCTGTGTTTAGTACTTCAGCTTTTTGTCTCATCCAGGGTCTTTCCTCTATGGCTTGTGTTGGGGTACTCTCACTCAGAGATGGCTAGGTCAGATGACTTTTGGTGATCAGCAACACTATTACTTGGTCAGTAGACTGAGCTCCTCTTTCACCCTTGAATCATGCATATACACACATGCATAAACATACAAATATACATATATATTTACTTCCAGCAACTAAGGAACATGTCTCCACAGTAGCTTCAGACTGCCAGTGTGAGAACAAGTCACATACGTCTGCCACAGGGCTGTATACAGAGCATTACAATAGAGTCAGAGCGGTCAGCTTATCGTATTATATTTAAGAGCTTTTCTTTCAATACAGATTCACTGGGGGCATTTGAATTTAATCTTTGACTGTGTCTTGTGAAACTTTCAGAAATTTGGCTGTATATCTGTATCTATTCAATCAGCAATATATGATCAGTTCAAGAGACATTAAAACTTCTCTTTCATTACTGCTACCGCAAAGCAAATTCAAAGCATTTCAACATTTTCATTCCATTGCTTGAATAAACTATAGAAATTATAATAGTTGCTATACTAACATAATTGTTAATGGGATGGGGTTTACATCTGTTTCCCTTTATCCGCTTCTGTTGTGGTAGAGAAAAACCTTTTCAAAAAGAGATGATCCATCCTAAGAGATTAGATTTCCATATCCTTACTCATGTTGAATTAACTAACTGTTTTTTCCCCCATTACATCACTTGGACTAATACTTAAGAACTGTTTGTCATAAATAAGGAAGATGGGTCTGGCCTAATAAAAAAGAAAAACACATTTTCAAGTGTGGGTGGCTAATATTAAGTATCTCTCTCCATATTTAGGCATCCAGATAAGTGTGGTCTAAATTGCGGGAAGACTGCTGCACCTTCCCTGAAGCTGTCTGCTTAGTGCCTTTGAGAAGTGGGTGCTTCTGTTTCAGTAGCTAAATCAGCAGAAAGCTGCCTAACTATAGTCCCTCAAGTTTTGAAAATGTTCCTACTGGTGGCAGGAGATCTTGCCTACACTAACAAATATCCACAAGTCAAGAATGGCTGTCAGCAGCCCAAATGCTGAACATATGCCTACAATTGCCACCAAACTGTCTTCAGTACTGATTCAGCTATACTGATTGCTGATGCCTAATGTCAGAAACCAGTCAGCATTTTCTATGGTAGGCAGCCTCTAATAAAAGTTCAGAAACCCACACTGAAACCATCAAAGCCACCCTTGCCTCAGTGAAAGTGTGTGAAGCCAGATAGAAAGTAATTGTGTTTTTAATGATTATAGGGTGTTCCACACTATCTGCAAACCTCATGTTTTCACATGCTGCCCTCTTTTGCAGGAGGGGGTCAAATGTCTCACTCACATTGGACATGTGCACTCCAGGCTGTTCCGAGCAAGGCTTTGGCTACGTCATGTCCCCAAGAGAACAGTCAGCCCGAGAATATCTCCAAACAGCAACAAGCATCCTTACTGAAGAGGAGCTGCACAAGAAAGCACTAGATCCTTTCATACTCCAAGCAGAATTTTTTGTGAGTATTTGACTTCTCTGTTTCTGAGAAATGATGTCGATGGCATCTGAGAAATGGGACATTGCCTCCTTTCTGTGAGCCTCTCTAGGACCTACAGTGAGTTCTTCTGGAAGACCAAATGAGTTAACACTTCATTTTTTATAGTAAAGCACTGTATTTAGCCTTCATGTTGAATATACTTTGACATGCCTGTATTTGAAAGCTTTTTGCTGCTTCTCAATTTGCAAGATATATCACTAGTCCTAGTAATGAAAATCCAGGTTTAGTTTCAGGCATCTTTTCTTTTTCCTCCTCAGGACATTACTTTTTAACAGCAATTTTACAGTCTTTCATTCTCCCTTGAATTCAACCCAGAATGTCCATTGTACGTGTTGGCAGAATGTTATCAGATTGATTGAAGAACAGGATTTTTGTGTCACAGAGACTTTGCATCCCCTTAAAAAGTGTCTGTGAGGGGTTAGCTGCTCTTTTAGTTGATAGTGTGTCTAAAACTTTTCCCCTGATGTCCTTTCTATAACATTTTTCCTGACCTTATATATCAATTCTTAATTTTGGAGACAGGATTTCTAGTCCCACTTTTGGATTAAATATGGGTACACTGCTTACAGATCAAAGAAACAAGAAAAGGCCAACTACTTTTAACTGCATGGCGGCTTTTAATTTTCTATGTGCTCCATGGCTGCTTCTTTCCCAACTGCTTAAATCTCCATGGTCTTGAACTTTGTCATTTTTGCCAGGACAGAGTACGTTCAGAGTAGTGCAATGGGTGTGTGAGAGTGGAGAATTGATTTGGAAGGCTCTTACGCCCACTTTGCATGGCTGCAAATGACTACAAAGGTGTCAAGTAATCAGGTCCTTTTTCTGTTTCACCCACACAGAACCCCATGCCTCTTTTCATGCTGGGCTGCTGTAGAACACACAGCTGGGAACCAAATAAATTAATGCTAACCTAGTCAGCATTTTCCTAAGCAGAGTCCCACCAGATCAGCAGGAAGGTGGCATGTTATGCATCTATCCCTTTAACCCACCCACTCCCTGACCTCAGAGGACTTTTAGAGAAACCATGAAAAGAATGGACTGACCTTCAGTGTTCCCCCATCCACTCCCCACTCTGCCAGTAATTTGTAGGTTTTCTCCCCCTTCACAAACAGAAGCAAAGGAGAGTCTTTGAGCCCCAGTTTCCAGATACAAAGCCAAACCTCTGTAGTCCTTACTTATTTTTCATTTTGTTTTCATTCAGTCCCTAGTTCCCATTGAAGACAAGCTAATTAGAGACCTCAAGGTTTGGCTGTGGGGGAAGAAAAAGGATTCTTTCTTTTCTTTTCTTTTTTTGCTCATAATACAACTAATTCTTAGATACATTCTAAACAATGCTAGCTGATGATTCTGGCTGCAAGAAGAAATTCTGGTCAGTTTTGTTTCCAGTTTTAACTTGCATGTCTGTCAAAAAGAACCCCTAAATCGCTGGATTTCCTATGGGACCAAATGGGAGCTGATGTGTACAGGCTTTGTTTGCAAATGTTCCATTAAATAAAAGCACAAAAATGTGGCCCTTCTGTCAAGCTTCACCCCATCCTTCCTTGAAATCACTGATTAAAAGGGATAGGGAAAACAAGAAAAAACAACACATGGCTGAACATAAAAAAGAAA